ACCTACCAACGAATGAAAAAACTTCTAGGGATACCACAAATCAAATGTTGAGAAGTTATATTCTTATGTTAGCCAAAAACATTCGACAATCCGACGTAGGTCATCTCAACAGTTGTGTTTTGAGGGAAACTTTTTTTAGTGCACGGCTACACGTATAATAAAAAATAGACGCGTTTAATCAAAGTTCACAACACTTGAGTCTGCTCGCATTGTGATCTAGTGATGAAAAATTCTGGGGCCGAAAATATTTCGGCCATAATTAAATGCAAATCTTTCTCATCACAAGCGACCCCGCGTTTTTAATGCTGTAATATTTTTCATTTATCCGGCACCTTACGAAATAATAATGTAGAAAATACTCTTCAGCTATGCATCTGTGCGTTGAGTCTAGATTTTGGATCCGGCGTCATTTGGAGAGCGAAACCATCAATTTTTGAAGAGATATACTATCCATCTACACTCACATTTTCCCCTTATGAAAGTCATACGGCTGATTGATTTACACCCCACTTTACATTCCGGAGCTGTATATGAACCGACAAGTTATGAGTGCCAAAAAAACATTCACTAAATTTCACTCTGGACGTGTAACATTGCGAATTTCAAATTAAAAATCATTAACATCTGGCATGTTTAACATAAGATTATAAATCACATTTTATTTCATTGCGCCATGTACAGTAAATATATTAGCAGTCAATAGAAGTGTGGAAGTAAATGTCTATGTTTCGCGAAGAGCAACTTAAATTACGCTCACAAAATTGAGTTTTTCTACTTTATGGTGTTTCTCCGTGTTGGCGATGTCTCAACAGTGCCAGGCGGGAAACAGGTTAGTGAATAGTTTATGCAACCAAGCACAAAGTGTCTATCAAAATGATACCGGGGAAACTGATACAATACGGTCTCTCTAGAAAAATATCTTCTTGTATAACATCGTCGCCAAACTTTCACCACAAATTGGTAGGCCAAAATCCACTGTCCGAAAGTTATTAATTTACTCGTGTGGCCGTGTAACCGTACTTTGGGAGTGTGAGTTAGAACCAAGGCGTGGGACGCAACGCCAACTGTAAAGAAAATCATTGACCTTGTGCACAATGAAAGCCAGCATCCACCAATTTGTTTAGCTCTGGGAAGTTTTGAGTGGAGTAAAGCAAACCTCTCCCACCTGCGGTCGGGATATGTAATCTGTTTGGTTTTATGTACCGCTGTCTTTCCAATGGTGCTTCTATATTTGAAAAATAGCGGCAAACAATCGTCTTGACAAGCCAGAATACTTTCATATGATTGCTTTGGAAGCTCACGAATGGTTTGGCAGTATCATGGCTCCGGTTGTACGCATAATGCGCGAGATTTCCCCAAACATATGTCGTAACTGTACCCCCTGAAGGGCAATTTTCCGAAGGCTCCCATTCAAAAACGATGGGGCGCATGCAGGTTACACTAGGTTGTTGACTGCTCAGGAGATTTCATCAAAATTGATTTGTTTGCTTCTATCAATATATAGTGCAGCATCTTGAACATCGTTTTGAATGAAACATGAGGTCAAACTTGTGAATCAGTATAATATAACAGACAATATATTTAGCTGAGATTCAAATGAACCCCATGTGAAATCCCTCCAACTAAGATAGAAAATCTAAACTGTGCATAAGTGTTGTGTATATAAAGAGATATCGACAACGAAGTTAATGGGCAGGACACCCCCGTGCAGGATGTTGCAGGGGTAGATGCACCCTGACAATCACATAAATTCTGGCGCGCATCGTAGAGTCTATGGAAAGCATCGGTCTAATTCTTCTGTACCAAATTGTAAAGTCTAGTTTCCATTTTCTGTTGTGAATCATGTGGTATGTGCAAGTAGACAAATGCTTTTAAAAATATACCTGGCGTAACGGGATGCACATATCATGCTTACATTCTAGACCTGGGTTTGGCGTAGTATGGACCGACATGGAACGCACATAAGCCCATTCTAGGGTCGCATTAGTGCAGTTAAATTATAACATCGCCTATGGCTTACAAGATTGGCTGCTGCAAGTCAGCAGCGTTGATCGTTTTGGGTGCCTCGTGTATTTGGACCGCAGGTGATTTTTAGTATAAAAAGTTAAATATGACACACACTAATGCAAGATACTTTGCATGTAATGCACTGAAGCTTTTATCACCCATGTTGTTTTTTCCCGCCCTTCTGAGTATCGGTTCTGCATAAAGTGCCCATTCAACCTATTTTTGATGATGAATTCAGCGTGAAAAACATATTTAAAGCTCACTGAAGAAATTTGTCGAATAAGGAATTTCAAGGTCTATCATAAATGCTGAAACCGTGGAGGGCGATATTCTGACCCCACGATTATAAACCGGATTATAGGAAAAACATTTCAGTTTTCCTGCTGAATTTAAATATGGTTCCTCCTGCTTGGCGAAATTAACCGTCAGGATATCTGAATACTACGGATAATAAAAACGTTGATATACCTAATGAAGTTATACTTACTGAAATTTCTGCATTTTCTTAAAGTTTCTGTAGAGCACTGGACCAACAGCAGTTCAGTACATACAGGGCCCGTGAAATGTTTACAATATTTGCAGCTTTTTGTGCTACGATTTTTATCCCGAATCTACGACATATCTAAAATAACGGACTCCAGTTGCAAATGGGATAAAATAAATGAAGCCGATTTATTGGTGTTCCATATGGGGAAGACCTCATGTCAGAGACACCATTCTGAAAAGTTGCATTTTACATAAAACAATCGTAAGGGCAATTTATAAATGAAGAAACATTTTTGAGTGGGTGGATAAACTCAGGCTTTTCTGAATGTGACATACTTGAATTTTGTTCGGTATTCTGGTAATATATTTCAGATGCAGTTCCTCGATTATTCACCCGGATACCAGAGTAAAACTGGTGCAACTGGCTGACAGGTTGAATCTGTCGTCTTGACGGCCAGAAGTTTAATATGTAAAACTAAGATAACTAGACGGCAGTCTTTCAGTCCCAAATAAACATTCATTTTGACCCATTTCGTTGCAGCATTTCCCATTTCTTGCTAACAAACCACAGAACTCACTTAAAAGAACTTTCGTATCTGTCGTTGATCTGACACTTAATTAATCGTTCGCAAAATAGATATTCTGGCTTTATTTTCATTTCTTTTATTCTTCACGATTCAATGCTATGGTATTTAACTGTACCGAAATTTCACTGGTTTTCCTACGGCCAACTGGATGGCATGCGCTTTGATCGTGAAACGTTCTCTTTGCTGCTCTTTCTAGAACATCAGATTGGATTCCGTGACTTAATTTATTTATTACATCAAACATTTTGTACCACAAAGCTTCAATAGTTCTGCTACCTTCTGCCATTACGCGTGTCATGCGATAGTGGCAGATTCATTTCCATATTTCACCCGTGTGGCGCAGAAGTGTTTGCGGAAAAATGGTTGGAACGCCTCAAAGTGCTGAGCTTAGGTAACTAAGTTTTTTTACAGCAGTTATCGGTACGGGTAGAGTATTTGGGTGATAAAATATTTATTATTTGTGTTAGCCTGTGAATGAGTGATTTCGACAGTCCTTGTCATATTCACTGTTTTTGCATGCTGTTTCTTGACATTAAATGGCTGCATGTATATTTATCTGTTGTAGACTCCTGTCCTGACAATTTCTTTCTGTATTTCGTCGCATTGTTCTGATAGCTCACTTTGTTGGTCTTAAGTCCAGGAATTAAACGGCGTAAATTTACACCTGAATGATAAATCGAGAGAATGTCTTATTCACTAGTTCGTGAATAACAACTCAATTTCAATTTTTCAAACAGTCAGTGTTAAATTTTCAAAATTGAAAATGATCCTTACGCCACAATGCTGTTAAATGTTGACGTAAATTCCAGAGGTTGTCTGTATCATCTCTTGTTTGCCTGCCCAAAACTACTCTTTTACAGCTCTACTTATGAATATCAGTCATGGTGCGCACAATTATTTACACCCTCTGACTCCAAATATTTCAGTGGCTATAAATAAGCAAGTATTATAACTCACTTCTAAAGCGAAATACAATGATATTTCTCTTGTCAAATATGCTCGAATAAATCTTAACCATATCGGGAGGGAACGCTTATTTTTTTATCGGCATGTTTAGATTTTTATTCTGCCTAGTGTGTGCTCAACGAAGGAACATTCGTCATCTGAATTAGCATGTCACGAAAACCTGGTTGCTGCTGACTGTTCAGAAGCAACCAAAGTTTTTGTTGCACGAAGTGACTTCATCATTCGTCCTTGTTTAAAATGGGTGACTTATAAACTCCCATGGTTCGCTTAGACTCGGGCGCATACAATGTGTCCAAAAGGTTACATAAGGGCAGATAAATATATATAAAGTGTTGTCATGAATCTCCCGAATGTCTCTAACTATACTAACACGATCGCCTGACAAAGTAATAGCATACGAACGCCCAGCCATACAGACGCGTTAAATACCAGCGTAATCCGCTTATGGAAATTCGACAGTATATTCCTCACTATGGTCAAAACGAATTTTTCATCACTGAGAACAACAGGTTGTAGGAGAACGGAAACCGAATAATCACTGTATTATGGGTAGCTGACGATTACCTTGCGAATAGTGTGTGATGCAATCAATTGATTTGGTGCATACGCCCTCCTCATTTAGAGATTATGTTTAAGTATGTATATAGTAGAATCCAACTAAGAATTCCAGACGCCACAAGGCTGTCAAAGTTCCATGATATAAATGCATGGTAACCAGGATATTTCTCAACATGAATAAATTGGCTCAAAGACCCAGTAAGGATTATTTCACTGCCTTCCGTTAAAAAGGACAGATAGAATAACTCGCATCATCGGTGATAACAAATTTAAGAGGATTATACCGACAGATCAGTCTCTTGTAACGATGTCATTTTACCTGCCTTGAAATGTGCCCCAAGAACTCAGGACTTATGAGTTCCATTTGACAATGACAGATTAACTGAAGTCACTTACCATACATTGGGCATCGCAGTTATCAAGAATATATATATTTGTAGAATTTTCCGCAGGATTTTCCGGACATTCTTCACATCTGTAACAACTTAGAGCATTTGCTGAATTTGTACCTATCGCTGTGTTCCATCCTCACCTTGAAAAATGTAAAATAATAATGCACTAGTGATTAACATGTGCATGATGCCAAGCCTAAGTCGCGAACATTTCAATGACGAAATACCGGAGCGTAGAATATTTATATGCACAGGCGCAACTGCGTTTTTTGGGGTGAATGACGCCAGTAGATTTTGGATCACATGTGTAAGTTGAATAAAACTCAAATAGAATTACAGATCTCTTCAACAATAATTTTCTGTGTTTGTGCTATCATGCTTCTTCCTGCGACCAGTGGCATAATATCTCGCGTATGACACACGGTCGTCACCTTAGCACCAACAACTCGCATTTTAACAACGGTGATGTACGCATAAATCGTAACTGAGCAACAATGCCTGCTGCACGATTAGTGAATGCACAGAGGCTCATTTTCATTCAATTTTCTTTAAAGGCCAAAAAATTCCTAATCAACGCTGCAAGGTTGAAAGATGTGCGCTTGATCGTTGGAGGATATGTGCGTCACCCTATTTTTATAGGCGTTGGACATAAGTTTTCCTAACCTAAGTAACACCAAGCACCGAACCTCGAAATTTTACAGCGTCGAACAGAAAAATATACAAGGGTGTTGGTGTGGCTAAAAAGTCACTGCAGATGGTGCACTTCACCGGCTGGGGCGAAATCACTCTAATTTTTGTAGCGCTCATATGCCAGACGGTGCCTTTATTACGGACACCCATGCGCAAGGTATGATAGAACTGCTGGTCCGTAACTTAAGGCTGGTTGTAATTAAACATCTTTCACAATTATCATTCATTGTTGAAGAGCATGATCACAGACACAAAAAGTGACATAAAAAGTAAGAGCGACGAATGCGAAAGGGTAATAGGAGAATATGGGAGAAAAGAGAGAAACGTCCCATTCGACCAACACACGTTTAAAGACCAACAACCAAAAAACAAACAATTGTGAATGCTCTTCAAGGCGCGATAAGCGCTAGCACAATCAAGACTCACACACCAGGCACAAAGCGTCCGTCATACTGGGTCTTGTGTGAGGTTAAATGACAAAAATGTACATTCAGAGCCATGTGCCGCGCATAAAAGTGGCCTGAGGATGTCCCAGTCCAATAACAGCCTTAGCGGATTGAGGAGAGCAGATCCCTCGATAAGAGGTGATCATCGGTTGGTTGACCAAAAATCGACAACACAACCGATTGGACGTAGGGCTGAAATCATGCTCTTCATATCAGAAGCGAGATGGGTGGGTTGAATGTCTCCGAGATCGCAGGGAGAATATTAATGAATAGAATATGTACTGTGGAAAGGATGAAGGTATTCGACATGAACGCTTCATTTGGTGGGTAGAACAATCAACCAAACTAAGAACAACGCAAAAAAACTGAGTGAAGAGAAAAACAGATCCACGAGAGTGTGATAAAGACGCCCGGTTTGTTATAGGTTCCACGAACCATTGAAAAATTACAGAATGATTTAGTATTTAAATCGCTAGCACAAAACACTTGGTTTCAAATTAAATTACCCTGCCACCAAACCAATTGCTTAGAGTGTATTGCACAAAATGCTTCAGAACGTATTAGGGTATAAAATAAATTGTGAAGTGAAGATGTCAACACAGTTTCACTCAGCCGATGCCACACTTATGATGCCTTTAAGTTTGACGTCAGAATGTCTGCAAGCAAACCTCAGCGCCTGACCAAGGGACAAGCGATCTACAACCGACACTAATATGCGGCGGCCAGGGGCTCAACAATATACGGCTACCACCAACGGTGCAAATAATGCTCGACTAATTATGTTGCTAATTGTGCCATCGTGATCGGATTTCGTGGATAATTTAATTTTTACCTTGTTTTCTAATTGCGCGAAATTTCCTCCTAACTTTCTTGAGATATCCCTTCATTCTTCTGACAAAAATGAGTAAATTTACCACTCTAAACATGGTCCAATAGTGGTGTATGGCTAAGATATAGCACATGTGTTGCTCAACCACATTTCTGAAGAATGCAAATGACACAGGGCTTTACGTCATGCACACGATTCTGTCGTTCAATATAGTACTCCCATTACGTTGAGCCAAAAAGCGCAGGACGCTGTCGTACCACGACTCATGTGACTGCATGTTGTGAAACATGTGAGGCGCCATCTCAGGTACGCGAACAAGAGATTCCTGCGGTTAGTTAGTAGGGCTGTTTAAGTGTTTACTGCGGCTTTTGCAATATATGAGACTTGGGGATAGCTACTTTACAAGGCAAAAACCTAATAAATATAAGTAAGTGGACATCGACAAAACGACAACACTATACGGTGTGAACCTTCCCACAATCACTGTTTGGATTTTTTTGAAGGAAACGTTGCACCCTTGGCGAGAAGCTCCGAATTGTAACGACATCAAGGCTGTGCCTATTGTTGAGTCTTCTATCACGTTCAGGAGGCCAAAGTCTAATTGCTTACAAGTCCGAGTAAAATTAACACAATAATACGTTCAACTCTGCATCGAACGAATAAATTTGGGACTCACTTCCAATTCTCTAAGCAATATCATTTGCCTTAGTGTCGAGCAATCCATTTTTAATTTCTATGACAGTATTATTTTAAAACGTCAGTCCATGTTTCAAAATCGTTTCAAATGACTACAAGAGGCAGTGTGTCATAAGTTGTTTTTCGCGCACAAATGTTTTTCGACAACTGGAAATACATGAGGGTGAGTCACAAATATACTTTTGACTTAGGTAACAACATTAGTTTCCAGAGTGTGAACTCTTGTACTAGTTGAACAGGAGCACTGGTCACAAGAATGCCAGGAATAGACAAAACTGCTCAAAAGTCCTCAACGTTGTATGTATTTGTACACCTATCAAATTACATCTTGGCTAAACATATTTCATCAATAAAAAACGCGTTTGTGTAATTTATACTGCTCGCCATCCGTCACAAGCGAAACGTATTACCCAAGGAAAAAGTCAACGGTGCCTTCCAGAATTCGGCAACCATTGATATGTGTGTGGGGTAATTTCTTCGTTCTTGGTCGGCAGTCGATCACTTTAGGTTTATGGATCAGAGACCGCCGCCTCGCGCCGAGGATGTATGAACGAGCATCGGTGTCCCCAAAGCATTGATTGGATCAGTTGGGAACACCGGATTAGCAATGCCTGAGATCATCACCTTCGGTGATGTAAGGATGTAAGACTAGGCTGACCTCTGTCACCTTTCCTCTTCAACATAGTCATTGAAATACTGCACGGCATTGCTCTGCGTGAAACATCGAGAGTCGAAGTGCACACGCCATGTTGCTTCACAGGCGCTGTGTACGCGAACGTTATTGCTCTCATTTATTCTGCTTACCCCAGCTGGAGAACCTTGTGTATATACAGGAAGCATTCATTATTTAGAATAAATGCCCCAGAGAAAAATTGTTCATCCCCCTCCTATACCGAAATTCTGTGGGAAGACCTTACTCAGACAGATTTTATCCCCAATGCTTCTTCTTCGGAGCAGAATTTTAACGCAATTTACTAGCTTGATTGTGGAAGTTTATTTTGAAGCAATCAGTGAGGCGTTGTGCATGCACTAACTGGCTGACATTAGATCGATATAGAGACGCAAAATGAGCAGATATCAGTTAAGTTATCGTAATTGAGTTATTAGTAAGCCGGTCCACGTTTTACTTTTCGAGCTTTCTGGTTTATGCCAGCAAATCCCCACCCTCTTCCAACTTCTGTATTTTCGTTTTATTTTCAGCAGCATACTCAGCACCGTGTTGAGAAACATTAATATATTCTTCCGCATATCTCCATCAATACCAATCTTGTTAAAACTCCAAAATATAGAACAAGGATAGTTTACGCTAACCATATAAAGCACATAACAATTAATTATTCATTTTTACGTATACACCTCCAGAGAAGGAAAGAAACCAATTATGGTGTGAAAGCCTATGTACGGACAGTGAGTTGATGCCGTTCAAGTAAAGACTTGGCATGATCGTTTGGTCAATTGGTTCGTTGCGTAGGTTTCTCGATTCTAACCCATGCTTATGGCATTCGGGCATTTGTATCCCAATCGACAGATAATAAAAGGCTGTTCAATTTTTCAGGGAAATTTGATTCTGTTATTAAAGCTGAGTTGCGAACAAGGTGGCGGTCGGCAAAGTAATGGAGGCCACCTAATATTCGTGTTTTTCTATGCTTACGTTTGCGCCCCTAACTTATGTCTTTGAGCAGTCAAACTAATCTAATTCCCGATAGAATTATTGAGGGCAGCACTATTTCAAAATGTTCAGGTAAAAATTGTATGCCTATCAACAGCCACTTTGTCAGTATATTGCGCAGAATTTCCTATGCCAAGTAACTCCATACGATGATACGTGGCTGTTTACAGCTATGCATTTGTCTGTTTGAGTCCAACATACATACTGCTTTAGGAGGAGTCGCCATACTATGGTCGATAGAGGACGCACGCCGAATGATTACTGTTCCATAATTCATGCAAAGCAGCGAGTGATAGCAAGGAATAGTCTTGCGCATTAGCAACCTCATTTTTGTGCACCCTGACACGTGATCACACCAGCGTGTTGGTTAGTAGGTTGTAAACATTTGACCAGTGACGACGTATCAAAGCTGTTGACGCAAACGTGTAAAAGATGTGTCGACATTTTGATAACCGATTTCGACGTCGTTCGCTCAAAACAACTCATAGGTGGGACTCTTCTGCCTGTCACCAAGGCTTCATACGACAGTGACTACAGGTCTTTCAAGAATGTCTGCGAAAATGCATCTATCCTTATAATGTAACCTTCCGCCCACGAGTATTCCATGAACAAGCCTGGACGTCAGCTATACAGAAAGATAGGTCAGTGTTTAGTCAAACGTTTTACAGGTGCGCATAATTACTTTAGAAATCTCAACAATGTGCTTGGAACCAAAAATCTACAACACTGAGACATTCCAATAAAACGGGGATT